ATGCTGTCACAATTTCTCCAGGGTGAATACACCCTCCCCCTGGCGGCTCCCCCCACTCCCAAAATTAGTCATCCCAGAACCTCATAAAGTCCTTAAAACCATGAATCAAACAGATAAGGTTTTCGTTTTTAGAAAAACAAGGATAAGAATGATTGTGGCCTCACACTCTCGTGTCACTATCATGGCTGACTTACTGGCATAACATAACGTGCTCCTGCGTCAACCCCAAACCAAACCAAAGCAGGCTCACTGCCATCGTGTCCGTGCTGATGCAAACACGCCTAGAGGACAGCAGAACCGCTCCTGTGGGTTTCTGAGCCAGGAAACCGTCACTGGAGTGGAAAGCCTGAGCTATCTGGTGGTTTCAAACCGCCAATCATTTATTTAGGCACCAGGCCTTCTCCTGGGTCCCAAGGGAAAGTTAGTTACCAGGAAGGAAAATGGGCTAAAGCTAATGGGGGGCTGGGGTGGGGTGGGGAGGACCAGCAGAGAGGAATGTTATCTAAAACTACAACATTGGACTGAGCTGTCAGACCCACACAGGGCTCCTTGGTGGTCCCACTCCCACACCCATACGACTGTCATCCTTAGCTCCCCTTTGCTGCTATGATACAAATGACAGAGGGGAGAGGCTACAAAAACCAGACCACTCTTTATCTCACAGTTCAGCATTTAAGGCACCAGAGCATCAGAGCAAAGCTCTCCCCCAACATGCGGTGATTAAGTCACCGCGACCATCCTTGAACAGTTCATCTTTTAAACGAAGGCCCCCAAAGATAGCCTTGGTATTGTGCCTGCCATCTCTCTGGGAAATGTGGCATAAGCTCGCAGCAGAAAAGGCCACAGGGTCTTGAAGGACACCTCTTGGGTGTATGTTAAGGTGAGTCATCAGAAGTAACCTTTGTTTCATCATTGAGTTTCAGTGGCCTGTCCTCTGACCTCAGTTCTGATATCCCAAGGCTCCTAAAGTGGCATCAACATAAGGCATATGAGGCAACTGAAAGCTTCAAAGGAAAGCAACTGGTCACTTAGCTTAACTCCTTCAGGTCAAACTGCAGTGTGGAAGAAAGCAACGTGTCCTTTGGAGTACGTGCTCCCTCGAGCGTGCGTCCCTCCCCCTTCTAACTGTTAGCAACAGGAACTAGTGGGACTCCTTGCCCTAAGTTCTAGCTTCTGTGTCAACGGTAGGTTAGTGGAATAACACCGTTTGGATTTTTCTTCTTCTCCCCACCATAAGACAAAGAATCTAAATAGGTTAAATGAGCTACAATTAGCTAAAGTCCTAGAACAGTATCCACAACTGGATCAGAGCACCTCAAAAATATTTATTCCCTTCTCCTCCTGTTGGTCAAGGGGGATAGAGAGGAAGAGAAACAAAGGAACAACAACACTGGAATGGAGACCAGAGAAAATGGGAATGCAAGAAAACGTGCATCTTCCATTTCTGGTGGCTTCAAATCTGGCCCGGAGCAAACTGAAATATACAACAACAGACAGTGCTAAATCTTCCCTCCTAAAGTTAGAGAGAACTTTGCACAGAGAAGTTAGCCTGCTTTTCAACAATAAGCTTTATTTATGTCCGATCTCTTAGAAAAATAATGGGTTAAATATCTTACTGAGTTGTACATATGCAATTTTAACATGCATCATATTGTACACACTCACTCTTCACTTAACAACATGGTTAGGTTCCAAAGACAAACCGTTATGCAAAAATGTTATGCAAACACCTTTTGCATACTATGCATAACATGCAGTGTATGCAAAAATGCAGAATGACTACAAAGCACAGCATTACACAACACTCAGATTTTATCATTGCACAAATGTGAACTTACATTATAGATAGAAAAGAGCCTAAGAACAAAAATTAGATGGATCCTATAGAAATATAGGACATTAATCTTTGATCTACACAAGTATTAAAATGCTGGGGTTAATTATTTAGTCCCAAGCAATTTTCAAATGAAATAATCTACACTCTCTCCGGTAAGCTATTCTGAGTGTGTCTGAGTCATTTCTCTAGAGTTAGACACATGCTTTATCTAGTTTCTGTGCCAGAAATCCACAGAACATTAACGTGAGTCTGCAATGGGAAAAATAAGAGAATTTACTGAGACACTGAGGCTTGAAACTTAGTGGAGCATTCTCATCCAAAAACGGGAGAGAAATGATAGGGGATATTAAATTCAAACAGGGAGCATTGATGAACAGCAGCTCAGTGTCAGACGCTAAGCTAGTCCCTGTGTTATCAGGGGACCCCAAGACCACCCCTAGCCTCAGTGATTCTCCAGGAGCACTCAGGACCCCGTGTAGAGTTGCACTCACTGCTCTGATTTATTGCAGAGAAAAGATATAAAGCAGACTGCACAGGGAAGTGCAAATTGGGAGAAGGCTGGAGGAAAACAGCTGTAAGCTTCCAAGAGTCCTCTCCCAGTTGGAGTCAGACAGGACGTGCTTCATTCCACCAGTAACAAATGGTTACCACACAAGTGAAGTGGTGTCTGGCAGAAAAGCCCATTAGAGACTCTATGCCCAAGGTATTTCCTGGGAGCTGGTCATTTACAAGGGATCTCTGTGGCTTGGTGGATAAAGCTGGTGGCTGCTAACTGAAACAGCTGTTTGAACCCACCAGCTATACGTTGCTGGGAGGTATGGCAGTCTTTAAATCTTTTGTAAAGATTTACATCATTGAAAACCCTATGGGTCAGCTCTGCATTGCTCTAAGGTCACTAAGAGTCAGAATTGACACAATGGTGATGAGTTATGTTTGTTTTTACTGGTCACTTAGTGTGATAGTTTTTTGTGCCAACATGGCTCCTGTAGGAAAATGTGGGTGGACATTAGCCTGTCAATCAGGTCACAGCTTAATTAGAGGGCACCTGAGACAAATGGCTCTCCAAGGCTGGTCTCTTCCTCTTTCTCTCTGGTAATTGGACTAGTGAACTGCTGCCTGAGTTAGCTACTCTGCTTCAACAGTGTGCTGCACTACCTGAGAACTGAGCCAACCCATGGACTGTGGTGGATCGTCGCCATGTTGTACATCGCTATATCTTGAGGCTCTGCCATGGCCTGCTTCCCTACACTGCTGCATTACTGGCCTCTGCTACACCTCAACATCTCATCCTCTTGCTGTTTCAGCCCCTCCTTGTCATGGTTGCTGCCTGTGGGCCAAGTCTGCTCGTCTTGCCTGTGAGCAGACTCTGTACTTCCTGCTAGCCACTTCACTGTCTGCTTCCTTGGCCTTGGCCCAGCAGCCGGCATGAGTAGGAAGGACCTTCAATATATAAACTGTCCCATAAAAATGAGTGGGACTAAGCCCTCATACTGCTATGTGAACTAATTAGCTGTTGTGTTCCTTCTCACTATATAAACCTCTCCTTTATATAAATAATCATAAGTGTCCTGGTTTTGTTTCTCCAGAGAAACCTGCCTAGCACACTTGAATTATCATGTTGGCAAAAAGAGTATTGAGTATACCATGGGCTGACAGAAGAATCTTTATGAGAATGTAGCTTTGTTTTTCTCCTGTGGAGCAGCTGGTAGATTTGAACCACTGACCTTGCTGTTGACTGTCCCCCACCTAACCCACAATGCCGCTAGGGTCATTACAAGTTGGAATTAACTCAATGACAGTGAGTTTGGTTTGGCCAGAAGAAGAATCAAATTTGACTCAGAAGAATCATGGCCAGAATGCTCCTTGGAAGTGAAGATGGCTAGACTTCATCTCATGAACGTGGGCTATGGTCTCAGGAGAGACTATTCCTTGGGGGACAGCATCTTTGGCGAGGTGAAGGGTCAGTGGCAAAAGAATGCCCTCAATAAGGTGGATTGACAGGGCGGCTGCAACAAGGGATTAAAATACAGCAAATTGTTATTTGAATATATTTAATTATTATTTGAAAAATAAAGTATTCAAATATAGCAAATTATTAGGACCACACTGGACTGAGCGGTACTTTGTTCTGTTATACGTAAGGTCAATTGTGAGTCAGAACTGACTAAATGACACCTACAACAAGAAAATGGCAATGCTAGTAAGAGGTTATGTTTGGTGACCCAGAAAAGAGGCCCTAAAAGACAGCCTCCTCTCCCACATTATCAACAGTCCCTGGCAACTCAGACACATAGTGGTTCCTGGGAACTTCAAGATATTTGGATCAATTCCACCTCATTTTTTCCACCCTAAAGATATCCGCCTCAAAAGGCACAGAGAGATGACATGGTCCTTTGACCAGATCTGGACGTGCAAGTAGCAACTTGAACCACACGTACAAGGAATGGACCCCAAGAGATAAAGCTGGTGAGGCAGGTTGGACCAGACCTGCAAGATGAGAAAGACCATGAAGTGGGCACATCGAAAGACAAGAGCTGTTATCAGACTTGCACTTCAGAAAAACCACTCTTTCTAGCGGCTAGAAGGAGACCAGAGGAAGAGGGAATTTGACGGCTAGAGGACAAAGATTGATCATTTCTGCACTACATCCTGCAAGAGGTGGCCAACCCTCACTTAGATCTGAGGCCGTGGGCATGAAGAGAGAGGCAACAGACACGAAGGATATTTAGACGCTCAAATAACTAGGGTTGGAGATTGAGAGCTGAGAGACTGGAGGAATGGAGTACGGCTTCCAGATTTCTGGCTTGGTGGTCATGTCTTGGGAGTGTCCATTAATCTAAAGCAGTGGTTCGCAACCTTCCTCATGCCACGACCCTTTAATACGGTTCATGTTGTGGTGACTCCCCAACCATAAAATTATTTTCGTTGCTCCTTCATCGCTATAATTTTGATACTGTTATGAATTGGGCAAACCCTGTGAAAGGGCTGTTTGACCCCCAAAGGGGTCGCGACCCATAGGTTGAGAACCGCTGATCTAAAGAGTACAGGGGATGAATGTTGGAGCCAAACAACTGCCTACTGAAGCTCTCTCCTCACCTTCTCCTCCACATCTAAAGCGCACCTGCTGGGCTTTTGTTGTGTTGTGTGTTTTTTCTCTTTCAAGGTACAGCAATGTCTTTAGTGTGTTTGGCAGACTTTCGGGCCCATGCTCAGGAGCTTCTGTGCAAGTCAACGTGGGACTACATTGATGGAGGGGCCGATGACAGCTTCAGCCGGGACGAGAACATCGCGGCATTTAAAAGGTTCAGTCTATGTCCGTCCATTGTGAAGCTTCTTGGAGGGTGGCAGTCCCAGTTTCTGCTCCCGCCAGATAGAGTGTACTCAGGATCTGAAAAAGGATATGGTTTTGTGGGGAATAACAATCAGGGAAAGGAACCGGTGGCACAGTGGTAAAAGCACTCAACTTTTAACTAAGGTTGGTGGCTCAAGGCCACCGGCAGCTCTATTGGAGAAAAGACCTGGTGATTTGCTCCCATAAAGAGTAGGAAACGCGAGGAAACTCTACATGTCCCGATGTCTGTCCTGTATGGAAGCTATGACTTAGAATTGACTCGATGGCACACACCACCACCAACAAAGACAGGGAGTGGATGGAGACGGAATTTGTCTTAGTCTTTCTGTAGAACTGGTGCAGCTATCACAGACTCTAGGAGACTTTGTAACCTGATAAGAGGACAAGCACACAGTACTCCGTGTACTGGAGTACACGATGACCTGGGCAGGCAGGCACACTTCCTGGGAGGGTCTGAATCTTTGTGGAGGAAGGAAAGGGAGAGGACTCCGGATACGTCGAAGACATGGAGACCCAAGGAGTCTTATGATGAACTAAGACTGGTCCAAGGGAGAAGAGCAGGGGTCAGCAAACAATGACCCACATGCTACATCTGGCCCACTCCCTGCTTTTGTGTGGACCCCAAACTGAGGGTGCAGTTGCTTTTTTTAATGGTTGAAAACAATTCAACGAAAGAATAAAAGTCGGTGATTATGGAAAAATGTTACGAAATTTAACATTCCAGTGTTCTCTTGGAACATGGCCACGCTCATTCATCTGCATAGTGGCTGTGGCTGCTTCTGCATGACACGCTGAGTAATTGTGATGGAGACTTCATGGTCCCTGAAGTCTAAATTATTTCTGATCTGGTCCTTTAAGAAAATGTTGCCTCAGGTAGCAACTCCATCCTGGAGAGTTAAACGCACCAAGAGAAAACGTCTTTGTTGTTTAATATAGAATCCGCCTCCGCCCCCGCTTCCTGAGAGATGTGTCTGAGGTGGACACTCGGACCACAATCCAAGGGCAGGAGATCAGTGCCCCCATCTGCATTGCACCCACGGGCTTCCATTGCCTCACCTGGCCAGACGGAGAAATGAGTACAGCCAGAGGTACGAACCTACCCACTGGAGGCTCTTTTCCCAGGGGAAAGATATGGCAAACAACAGCAAGATTTCTCTACCTGGGGACAGTAATCTGGTTGGACTCGGGAGGGTGGGAAGTGGACTATTTGAAGGTTTGTTGGTCTAAAGTTTTACCTACAATTGATGAAACAACCGTTTTTCATAATGGGGAGTGGTCAGAGTGTAAAACCCAATTCACACAGAGCCTGGAAGACAGAGTAGAAGAGTCCCAAAGGGTTTATGAGCTGCAATCTGTACAGAAGCAGACCGCCTCTTTTTGCTCACGTGAAGAGGCCAGTGTTTTCAAACCACGAATCTTCAGGTCAGCAGTCAAGCACTTAGCCACTGCACAGCCAAAGCTCCTTTCTGATCAATGAGAGGGTCACCCAAACCCCACCCAGCCACAGCCACCCCTCTCTGACTCCACTCCCTGTGGGGACCTAATGTGGCCACAGGGACAGGGCTCCCTCTGCGTTTCATAAGCAAGGTTGGGATGGGATGACAACTCTCTGAAATTAGGATGCAGAGAAATCATGCCTTTCGGTCCTGACAACAGACCCTGGCAGCTACTCTTATGCAAGGGCCCATTTCCCTTTTCTTTGATTGCTCGTCTCTTCTTGTTTGACAAAATATTTTTTGTTGGGTGATGTCTCCTTCCTAGTAGTTACCCACTCTCTGTGCCGCCACCCCCACCCCGTGTTGTTTTAGGTGCCATCAAACCAGCTGTGACCCACAGCCCAACAGAATAAAACACTGCTGGGCTCTGTACCATCCTCACAAGCATTGTCATGTTTGAGCCCATTGCGGCGACCACTGTGTCAATCGACAGTGTTAAAGATCTTCTTCTTTGAGGCTGCCCCTCTACTTTCCCAAGGATGATGTCTTTTTCCAGAGACTGATCCATCCTGATAACATGTCCAAAGTAGGTAAGACAGTCTTGTCATTCTTGCTTCCAAGAAGAATTCTGGCTTTTTGTTCCCCCCACTCCCAAATTTTTTGTCACAAACATGTCTAGGAGCATCACTGAACCACAATTATTGCAGAAGAATTCTTCATCCCATGAGTATATCCCTGGAGAATAATTCTATGACACTTTGTTCTCATATTAAGAGCCAGATACTCATCTCATATCTGTCTGTGTTTGTCTCATATTGGTCTTTTTTTTTTTTAAGCCAAATAATTTGTTTTGGGCCCTGGCCAGTCCCTTGTGATGCACATCCATCCATTGTATGACACTTTGTTCTCATATTAAGAGCCAGATACTCATCTCATATCTGTCTGTATTTGTCTCATATTGGTCTTTTTTTTTTTTAAAGCCAAATAATTTGTTTTGGGCCCTGGCCAGTCCCTTGTGATGTGATTGTTTGTGCATGTGGGTGAAAGAGAGAGATTTGGGTGAATGTATACAGCTGGCCATAATTCTTCCAGGACAGACTTGTTCATTCTGCTGTCAGTCTGCAGTCCACGCAACGGCCTTCTCCAACACTGTCAGTCAAAGTCACAAATTCTGTCTTCTTGATTCATTGCCCAGCTTTCACAAACCTAAAACAAGACCAAATCCACTGGCACTGAGTGGATGCTAACGCACAGCGGCCAGCTTTACCGGAGGTGGCACAACGGCCTCGTGAGTTTCCAGCACTGTAACTGTTAAGAGAGCAGAAAGCCCCATCTTGGTTCTGCACTACGGACCTTGTGGAGCACAGCCCAACCCCCAACCGCTCCTCCACCAGGGCTCCTCCCTGTCCGTGCAAGGAATGGACAATGCCATTGTTGGGTCAGGCAAAGTTCTCTTTGTTCTCTTACCAAAATGACATCTTCGCCTTTCAACGCTTCTAAGAGGTCATTTGCGGCAGATTTACCCAATGCAATCCACCCCTAATGCCCCCCACCCCCCAAAATAAGTAAAATAAAATAGAAGAGAACAACCTGACAATATTCCTGTTACCTCCTTTGTGATCCTCATTCTCATGTACTTTACAAGCTTCCCAGGGCTTCTCTGCAGTCTCTGCCTGGATTCCGTGACGCAGGGAAGAATGGCTCCGAGGCTTCTAGACCTGAAAGTGACAGCCATCTCTATGGGTTAGGAATCAAGCATGGCCCGTGTAAAATAAGAGCGGTTTACTAATCCGCATGGCTGCGTGTTGTGTGGTGTCTTTTTTATGAGGGCGCATGACATAAGGGGGTCTTTCCTGTGGAGGTTTAAAATGGAAAGTAACACTTTTTAAAACTTTTTTGGTGGTTGGGTGAACATTTGAAGAGCAAACCAGTCTTCCAGTCAGCGATTCATACACCTGTTTCCGGCCGCGGCTACCGTGCCCACAAGGTGGCAGCACTCATTCCTCTCCCCTTGCTTCCCATTCCCACGTCCTTCGTTTCCATCTCCTCGTGCCTTCTGAACTGTGTCTCCGTGTAAACACTGGCCTGGTGATCTTGAGTGGTGGATTGGTCCAAGGAGTGGGCAGCTCTCTGGCGTTACTGTCCGCCTTATAAACCTGCGGGAGGCTGAAAGCTGAGCCAGGAGGGGGTTCAGTTCCAGACTTGAAGGGTGACTACATGCTGTAGTGATGGGAGGTTCCTCCAAGCGCTATCCGAGTCGTAAGCCTGGTCTTTTATGATGATGGTGACTTTGCATGTTGTTCCACACTTCTTTCTCTCTCTTTCTATCAAGCCCTCCTAATGTAGGTCTTTTCAGAGCAGTTGGCCATGGTGGTCAGGCACATGTAGTGCTTTTTGTATCATGGTCATGGAAGCTGGGGCTCATTGGGTCTGTTAGTCCGTTAGACTAATTGATGTCCTGTGTCTTTGAAAGGCAAGA